TATTGGCTTCTATAATTCCTCAACTCAAATCATATGACAAAGCCAATATTTGAAAGAATTGTGCAATTAAAAAATTTTGGCTATTTTCGCTAATAATCAAGTGACCTAAAGACATGTGTTTATGTAATTATATATTTTAAAATAAAACTTAGCAAAAAAATGCTTGAAAAATATGCAAAATATATTATCTAACTTAGTTTAATAGTTTAATAAGTTTTAATACAAAGTTTTTTGATGGCATGATATACCATAGCTTCTAGTCATTTAAAAATTAAGAAATACACATCCCCAATATCATTTGCTCAAACCAACAGGCAGTAAAAATATCATTACAAATTAAACCTAGTTCTTTATACATTCTATTTATATGTTTAAATAACATGGAACTTAAAAAATAGCAACTCATTGACAAAGTCCCGCTAAGAAATAGTAAAATGGAACAGAAAAACTGCATGCCAATAGCACTAAAAATTAAAAAAAATAAAATGTCTTAAAAAAAAATTTTATATGGTGTTATCCAGAATAGAACTATTATTCATTCGTTCGTTGCGTTTAACATAAGGTTTCTCTTTTAAAACATATATTTAATTTTTCTTTACCTCTTAACGTTATAAACATGTTAAAACTCACATAGTAAATATAATTCTATAGTAGGTACATTTCACATTCTTCAGATATGAAACTCATTTTTCAGTTAGTGAATATACAAACGAACAAAATTATCACTTCTAGAGCAGTGTATAATAAAATAAAACTGTATAGTGTTTAAAGAGGATATCATTTTCTTGAAAATAATGAAGATGTGCCACAAACTGTCAATGTTCATCTCTACAATCATCTGCTTATAATTTTTTTTAGGTAAGTAGAAGATATGTGGTGTCAAAAACTATATCACAGATCCTGCTTCAACTTAGGTGACATAATTTGGCCACCACAATTATACGATTTGTAAACACTAGGTTTTACTTTATAAGGTTACCCAAAGAATTATATTTATGTAGCCAATCCTCAAATTCTCGACGCTTTGAAAACGAACATCTATCCAGTTATGATTGAGCTATCACCAGCGATATACTGATCAGTCGTCGAAAATTACCTGAAATGTTTTCAGCACTGTAAAATGACCCATAGAGAAAATACCCAATTAGTATTGGGTTTGAACTGTATTATATTCAATTTATTATTCATATGTTTCAATATATTAAAATAAATATTTGATCAAAATCTCAAAGACAAGAGTTTCTTTTTTCGGACTGCTTTCAGAACCACAAAGTGGATAACCATAAATAAATATTTTCAACATCAAAAAAAAGTTTCATGAATTTATTCATACACGTTGGAATAAGATGAACTCGTCATTATTTGTAACACCAAACAGTTTTCGCCTATAGTGTATGGTGATTGCATTGATCGCTTCATTAAAAATAACCAAAAATATTATTGCCCTATAAATTTTATATACAAACAAACTCTTTTTTGTTTGATTGTAAAGTTATAAAAATTTCATGCTATAACCTAGATGCCCTTTAAAATTTAATTTCCAGTTTTGAAGGTCTATAAAATATAATCTTCGTACAATCTTCGTACATAGCCTAAAGCCAAGTTTACATTCATAGTAATATGCAAAAACTAAATAAGAATAGACTGTATGTTACTCTCAATCATCTACAAAGACTTGCATTGAAAGCCAATATACAAAATCCTGTAAAATATTAATACTTCATAAGTCTCCCATAATTTCATAAAAAAAACTTTTTTTAACAATTTTCAATAAATTGTAATATAAAAATTTATTAAGCTTAATTGTATTTTATTATATTACACGTAATCAAAGCTTTTGTACGAGAATCAGCTTAAATGTGTAAAATATCTTCAAGATATCATTATTTACAAAGTCTCATTCTACACCAAAGAGTATACATATGTAACAAATATTCTCTCATTTTATTTATAACGCTAAGAGGTATTGATAACTTATTATTGGTTGAAATAGAACTAATAGAACTTTTTTATTTATTTTAATTTTAACAGTATCTTGCAAACAGAAGATTTTACCGTTCGGGAAGTAGTCGAATTATAGCAAAGGTTTGGTTTCAGGATCGCAACTGTGTATTTTTACCCTGACAATCAGGCAGCCATGAAAGCGTTCAACATGGCTTCATTTGTGAAGCCTATCCGCAAATACCGTTAATCTCTAAATGAGATTACTCAGTATTTCGATTTGATTTTTGTACCAGGAGCACTGCGTTCAAGAGAAAATATATCGCAAACGAAATACTCAAAAAACGATTTAAATTCTAAGAAAAAAAAAGAAATATATATTATGTAGCATTTCTTTAAGGATCTGTAAACTTAAAATCAAAACAAATTTCTAAAAAGAATATTTGAAAGGTGGCATCGAGTTCACATTTTAGAATCACCGAACCTTTTTTCCATGTAAAGATATGAAACTTTAATCCTAAGAAGTGTTACTGCCGAACACTATCTTATAGGTCAACTACTGCAGAAACTGTGGAAACGTTGTTTCAACCTTATAGCAAAAAAAAAATTTAACATACTCAAAATCGTTGAACGAGAACTTATAATTTTATTGGAAGTATTCCTCTGACTATCTAGTAACGTAACATTGATAATATCTCTAATAATTTATAACATCGATGAAGTGATTAACAGCATATTAATAATTTTTAGTAGAAATAATTTACTGAAATAGGGTTGTGGCTCAGTAAGCCAATTAAGCTTATGTGTGTCGGTTCTTAAATAATGGAAGATAATAACCGCTTGTATCTTAATACCTATTATTCTTTATCCAAACTCTTTATTATATTAATTTTTATATTAATATATATTTTGTATTTGTTTTTATATTTTTAGATATTATTTTTTATTTTATTATTTTAGTCCTCCAACATATGTACTATAATATAGAAGTACAAGCTGATTGTTAAAGCTTTGGTATAGAAATACGATAGCAAACTTTTATGATTTAATAAATTGAATCACCATTAAAGTCCATGATATTGTTATGATTCATCATAGATTGAAAAATGAACAAGCACAATAATTTCAATTTTGATGAGATAAGTACCACTTTTATTCACTGGAACTGGAAGTTTAATTAAAATCATAAACTTTACCACAAAAACCAAATGCAAAGAAACATACTCATATAATTAAAATTGATTATCGATTTGAAGCACCGATGATTTGCAATCGTTATGGCCAAATTTCATGAGTTCTGTCACGTAGTGATTCCCTGTTTAATATATTTACTAAATTATTTCCCTTGTTAAAATTGCTTATTTCTAAACCTGGCAAAATTGATTGAGACAAAAAAGACTTACCACCAGAAAGAATCGGTAATACAGAATATAATTTTAAAGAATTGGACAATAAAATTATTCAGAAAAAAAGAAGAAGAAAAAAGAGTAAAAAAAAACTCTGTGGAACAATAAAAATTTCTAACTACTTATTGACTACAATGATAATCACTCAATTTTATACTTCACAACTTTAAAATATGCTAAAAAACTTGATTTCATTATACTAGAAGTAAATATACACATATAACGAAGAGATCTTTAATTCCTTCACTTAAAGTCCGTATACTATTTCGTCTCCGACATTTTATTAAAGTTGATATGTAAACAACTACATAATATACATATATCTTTAAACTCTTTTATACACACCGAAAACGTGTAGAATAAGCGTAAAACCTTACAATTTCAGGGGTTAAGTACAACTTTATCATATAACTAAACTAAAGCTAAACACAAAAATATGTCATTCAAACAAAATATTCGAAAAATATACTTTTCTTCATTATTATTCCAGCGTATTTACATAAAAAATCCATGGTATTACAATGGCTCATAATTTGTGCTCAAGTAAGCTTTTGTATAGAAGGCCATCACTCCAATCTAACCTTGGTAGGTAGGAAGATATGTGAGAATTCGAAACTAGAATTGAATCCTCCCCAATTATCTAAGAAAACTGTTTTGATTTTATACTCCTTGTAATTGTGAGTAAAAATTTGGGCATAAGAGAATCAACAGATCGTACTGATGATGTGCCCAATATCTAGCGAATGCCAAGATTGCAAATATAGCTGAGTGAATTAAGCTTAAGCCAAGTTCTGCATAAGCTTAGGTATAAATACAACTGTTGTTCCGATTTCTTCTCCTCGAATGAATCTCACTTCATGCTATTCGTTGATCCAGTGTCATGTTAGGATTAATATTATTTTAAATACTTAAGATTTACTTCTATTTACTAACTCAGACATTTATGGCCTTTATATGAAATATATATGGAAAGTTCCATCGAAAAGGCATCTAATTACGCTATCACATTGGATTTTATTAAATACTTACTTTCTCAGTATCGTTGTTTACAGCGCAACTGATGTTTGTTTACATTTTACATATAAGACATATAACATCAATTCAAATTTTGGCAATTTCCCTCGTGGGAAGTTTATTTTTAAGGGTTGCATTTCACACTTTTGGTCTAAAATAAGCTGATTTATTGAAAATGAGCTCATTTAAATGAAAGATTTTTGTATGGTAAATCATGCTCACTTGTTATTATAATGAGCAAAACCGCCTAAATGAGGCAGTGTGAATATGCTATTAAGCCCACTAAAGCCAACCTGTTAGGAATATAAAATACACAAATTTTAAAGATCATAAGCTAAACCCCCATTCCAGTAATAAAGGAAAAGACAGATATTTGAATATAGAAGTTTTAGTATGCAGACAATATCTATGCCTAAACAATTTATTGCACTCAAATAAATTTATATATAGCTTTTTTTAATGTATCTCAATCTCAAAGTTTTTATATATGTAATAATGTATTATAATACAATTTTTTGCAGTGTATTTTGCCAACATAATAGAAAGCATAACACATAATAAAAGATTGGCAACGCAGGTAAACGTAAGCGAAATGTCAAAATGTATTTGTCATACATTTTTTTACATGGAATTATTTTAGTTCCGTGATGGCTGCTGTGTGCAGGCTTTCAAGTCGATTTTTAGTTTTATCGAAAAATTCGGTTCATATCAGAAATTTTAGTAATTATAGAAATCTAAACAGTGCAAGACAAAACAATGTGAAATTATTTAGTATAATTGGTGGCGGCGTTGCCGCATTTGTGTGTGCAAATTTATTGAAAACAAATACAGTGCATGCTTCGTCAATGAGCAAAATCGAACGAATGCGAAAGGTGAGTTCAGTTTGTTGCTGCAATTTATTATTATTATCTTTTATATGCAATATGGGAATTACTCTTAATATACAAATAAATGAATTTCTAAATAAATAATAACACCCAATATGGTCAAATGAATGAAAACTCCAATTTGCTATACATTTTTTTTCATTCTATTTTTAGTTATCTTCTTATCATTCATTTGACATTTGTTTACGTTGTTTGGTTCTGCTTTTACGTTGTTTTGTTGTTGATAAAATCAGATCTTCACGTGTATTTTGTTTTTGTTTTGAATATTGAAATTCGTAAATGTTATTATTTTACCGGTTAAAACTGGAAATTAACGTAAAAGAGGTGAATGAATTGTTTTTTTTTTTGACACCAGAAAAGTCAACGTTTTTTTGAGACATCATTAACTTTAAAAAAAAATAGTTGCTACAAAATATTGATTTTGCCTTTGAATTTTTTACATGCAAAATATAATATTATTATTATTACAAGTTCAATTATTACTTTTATACATATACATACTTTTATACATTTTTGAATTAACATTGTTGCTTCTTGTTCTTGTTGCTCTAATCAGCCCTACACCTTAATGTATACATCACATAGTGAAAAAAGAAATTATAAGTAAATTTCAAAAAATATTAGATTTGTAAAGATCTGAAAAGAATTCTTATATCATTAGCCTCAATCAAATACTACAATATATATATATATATGTATGTGTGTTAAAATATTATGTTTAGGCTAGTTGAGTCAGTGCACTTGAGCACTTCTACTCTCTATTAACTGAGAGGTTTCTTCATAACCCCTCTCTACGCCTTGACTGGATTATTGTTTACTCTTCATCTGACTAAGCAATAATTGACCTCAGATCTGTTGTAAAATATAACACAATTCATTCGAAATGATTTACGTTCATATATAGTCATGTTATTATTAACACCAAGTAAAACTAAGCTATACATTTGGTGACTTCATCAACAAAGATAAAGACAAAGATATTACGTGAAGAAAATAGGTGATTATCGATACCGTGCGTCGTCTCTGTTATTTCTTTTAAGATCTGTAAATTTCTCTTTAGTTAATTTCACAATTATACAATTTAAAAAATTATCATACAGTTATATACAATAATAAAAAGATTACCCTCTGTACTTGAGTGTATCAAAACGCGAAACATCACAACTCTGCAACGTTCGTTGTTGTGTGATACATTAGATCAGAGCTGTCCAAAACACGGCCCAAAGGCCTCATGCAGGTGTCTTCCTTATAAATATTATTGCAAGAACGGTTTAATACGAAAGTACAAGGCGCAAAGCATAGGGGAAATTACACAGATTTGCACGGTTTCAAAAATAAATTTTATATATCAGTTAAAACATTTTGGTTGAAGTTTTACTAAGTTTAAAAAAACTTCCTTTTGTTCCATGCTTATTTTTAACACCAATAACAAAAACAACCTATATCTTAACTTTTATTAGATTGACACCTAACTTCCTAATTTTGAGAATATATCAGTAAAGTAGGTATGTATCTTACTGATTCATCGAATAGATGATCTGACTATAAGTAGCTATATTTAAAATATATATATATTTTCGATCTACTCATTACCTACATCTATATACGAGCTTTATCAGAATAAAAATTCAATATGGATCTTAGCGTTCCAAAGCCTGTTCCACTGATAAAGATTTGAAAATTAGAGTTTCAGAATATATTAAGACTAAGTAATGGTCTAAACCTTTATTCTGATAAACTACAAATTATCATCAATCACATCACACTTCACCGAATGTAATAACTGTTTTTTTTTTTTGTTAATCTTTGATTCTTAAAGTGTACTATAACATTATGTATCTGTGCAAGTGCGCCGATACAAATATCTTCTTTCTACTAGATTGCTAAGGTTACTAGGACTATATTCAGAATAAATTCAATTTTTTGCTACTTCTAGGTCCTATTGCCATTGCTTAACTATAAAACATTCACATTAAACTGGGAATAATTCACATTATTTCGTACACTTTTTCTATTTAGATAACTAATAGTATATATTTTTTTTCTCTTACCATACCTAGTAAGTATTTCTCAATGTTTTATAGATGTTCACGATAGCAACACTTACGTTACTCGATTAAATTTCAAGACCATTGGTTGTCAGCGTCTTGCTCTTTATTATAAGTTAAGAATAATTTAAGGCCACCACAATTAATGAAGTAAAATAATGTGCCACCACTAATCCTAAGTGGATAAGGATAACCGTGATGTAGGTTAGTAGTGAAAGCTAGTATGCCTAGTTTTATACCTCAAAACAGTATACAAATCAATGTCATTGCATAATTCGAATTATATATCCATATATATTACGTATATCATTCTGTTACTTCCAAAAACACAAAATATTAATGAATGTTTATATATTGAAATATATATATTCAAATAATTAAATTAAAAGCATATTGTCTTCGACTGAATACAAAAATATTTCTGTGAAAAATATCATTCATCTTTGAGAATACTTCCTTCAATCCACGTTCTCATCTCTCAAAGAGATGTTATTGTTATAATAGTTATTATGACGTTCTTAAGATTCTATGAAATTATAACTCACAAGTGTATAAACGATATTAAAATTAAAATAAATTGTAAGTAATAACAATAAATTTGACATTTAACGCCAGTCTTTGCATTTAGTGTCATTTTTCGGCTCACCCATATCAATAACATTGTACCTTACTTTAATCGAACAAATTGTTGAATAACTCAATCTGAGGCAAAAATCTTAACGATGATCAAATCTCTATTCTCTGCATTTTATTTATTTTTTTTATTTGAGACCAATAATTCTTTTGCCTGGTATTAAATTACCCATAACAATGGATGTGGTATGAGACCGCACACACTCGCACGCGCTGCGTTGCCTTTTACTACCATTGAAATGGTCTATTGAACTTGGCCCCGTCCCAATCAGAGCACAGTTGTCTGGGGACATGTCTGCAGGCTATAAAAATATAAAATTATTTCATTATCGTTTTTCATATAAATTTGGTATTCTACCACCTAATCTCGGTGATAATTCTTCATAAATGACTGACATCATCCTTTTTTAGCGTCATCGTACAGGCATCGACGATTTTATGCAGATACTGTTGTAGGTGGCAATTAAATTTCGAAGTCATTCATCATTTATTTATTTATTTCTTCTCTTTTCCACTCGATAATATGTGTTATTTATTTGGAAACAGTCATATCTTGTATAATGGCATTGCTGCTGCTTGATCCAATAAATGAAACACGTCCAACCGCGTATCCATTGTAAATCAGTCATGATATAATGTAATTGCATACAAAATATCAAAATGATATGATTAAATAGATAAATTTATTTTTATTATAATTTCAAGCATTTTTGAAACATAAATAAAGTTTGCTGTCAAACAGTGTGCGATGGCGTGGGAGTTTTCACTACTACTGCGGTGTTAAGTGGTTTCCATCTACCGTAGGCCTTGCGGCTGAGCAACAAATACTTTGCTGTATTTTAATTGGATTCGATTATTATGTAATTTTTTATTTTCTGTGGATTTAAATAAATTATCAATAAAGTCAAATAAATTTTAAAAAATCAAAGTCAAGTTTAATCAATAAAAAAACGTTGTGTTGTGAATGCTGTAACACAATACTTTAAATATACCAACTATACTTTTTAACTAATATTTTCTTTTCATTTAAATTAGCCTCCATTCCATTTAAATTAGCTACGTATGATACATATGGCAACGCTTAATTCATTTATACTAACCAATTTTAAATTAGCTTTTACATTAACATTTTAACAAATTAACATTTTGCAGATTTGTATTCTCTGCATTAATCATCTGCAAACACTAGTAGCAGTCTAATAGTATATTCACACTGTCTCATTTAGACATTTGCTCATTTACATTAATAAGGAAACGTTCACATTATAACGAGCTCATTTATGCAGCTTATAGAACTTTTATAAACTTCATTTAATATCATATCATATAAAAAAAATAAATATATAATTGACATATTAAATCCTGCCATAGATTGACTTCTATTTTTAGTAAACTGCATTTTGTTTACACCGCCTGTTAAATGACGGTTTTTAGTGATCCAGAATGGTAATAAATTTGCCTGCACAACACATACCTGGTGTTTCATCACAATATGTTACGTACAATTTTTAACCATTTTTCCAATAGTTACACTTGGATGAAGACTGTAATTGTAAAGGGGATTCTAATTGAAACCACATAAATTCAAATCAGCATGTATCCTTCGTCTTGTCTGTGTACTGCGAATTCGATTCCTTTTCTGCCTTGGTTGCCTCTGTTCACTCGTTTCTAATGATCGAGCAAGAGCAGTGTGAACTCGACCTCTTTCTTGCCTAGTTTGTCTCTGCTCACTTGTTTCTAATGATCGAGCAAGAGCAGTCTGAACTCGATATCTTTCTTGCCTAGCCTGTCTCTGCGCACTTGTTTCTAATGATCGTTATTCTCTTCTTCTTTTTACTTGATTTGTAGTTCGACCAATAGAACTTCGCTTTAGTGCCATATTTTAAATTTTAAAATTAAAATTTGTGGATTTTTCCAATATTTTATAATATAAAAACCTTCCCGGGGATATGACTAATAATTTTCCAAGTTTTGAATCCATCGAATACAGACAAACACACATTCATTTATATATATATATATTACATATTTAATTAGTAAAAACAAAAATTGTATTAAATATTTACTTCCTCAGCGCCTTTGTTTACAGCTCAGCTGTTGTTTGTTTACATTTTACATATAAAACATATGACACATATTTCAAATTTTGGTAATTTCCCTTGTGGGAATATTATTTTTAAGGGTTGCATTCGACAATTTCTGCCTTAAATAAGCTGGTTTATTGATAATGATCTCAATTATATGAAAGATTTTTGTATGGTAAATCGTCCTTATTAGTGGTTATAGAGCAAAACCGCCTTAATGAGACAGTGTAAATGTGCTATAAGTTTCAAAAATAAAATAAAATTATGGAAGAATTGTTACTAGGAATATGATACTTATGCATTACATCAACTATCTTGAAATGTTTAACATGATATAGCAATTCTTGAATGTCGGTAATTAATTAAAATCATATGAAGATAAATCTGATAAATTTGATGTATTAAATATATATCCGCCATATAGAAACATTTACCACGATGTAGCAGTTTAAGGTGTTAAAGAAACTAATGCTTTTTCGTGCTATGTACTTACGACTTACGATAGGTACGTTGGCTCATTATCAGGTTACAAAGTCCACACATAATTTATCTACAAACTTAATGGTCTACAATGATTATTGTATGTACATCTATTTATATTTAAAACACTACAAAAACAGTTAAGTAATAATCTAAAATTGCGGATGAAATTCCAAGTAAACAACGTATAATAATCAAAGAAAATAGTAGGCTTGTTTGAGTTACAAAAGTTTTTCGGATGTACAATCATTTTCAAACAACCTCTCCGAAGATTCTTAGCTTATTTCAATATTATATTTTTACACCCACAACTTGTCACCTCAAACAATCATTAATTGGAATGTATAAAATTATTTTTGAAAAAATAACTATTTTTGAAAAAATAGTTTAGCGATCTCGACCCAAAACTAACCTACGTCCAAAAAATCCATAAGTCTTTGATAGTGATATACTTATATCGCTATATTAGTTGTGCCGTAATAAAATTTATTGATGTTAAATACTTAACATTTACAAATAGTAAGAATCGGAAAAATCTCTTCAATTTTGAATTTGGACGCAAAAGTACGAAAAATATATTAGGTAAAAATATTGAGCTTTTCTTTGTGTGTAAGCTGTTCAGTGGTCGGATTGAATTTGTGTGTTTACATTTCCATGTTGTTTGCATTGTATGTTATAGTACAACTAATAACGTTTTACGTATTTTCAAGATATATACAACTTATGCAGAGAAATGGGAATAAAGAAGATTTTACAATATCTCTTACGTTTATATCATGTGTTGTTACGATTACACCTATTATTATTGATACTGCACAACTTAGGAAGTAAAAAGATGTCTTAAGAACAACAATTCAAGTACTGCCTATATTCGAAAAAACGGTTAACATTCTACAATCATACATAGAAGTATTGCTTCGTTTGGTATCGCTAAGAACATATGTATAGATCTATGTTTGGCTTATATCTAGACAGACCAATCAATATTCTAAACATAAACTAGCCATATCAGACTATCCATATTCAACTATCACTGCATTCATATTTATTGGTTCATTTAGCAAGATAAACAATTTCAATATCAGGAAGCCATCTCATTCAACTTGGTAATAGTTATGCCTTCAGTCGTGTTGTATAGAATAGTTTGGCTTTAATGTTAGTTAAATTTTCGGCTATGAGGATATTTTCATCTAAGTAATAAGTTAATGTAATGTGTCTTTTTAAGATCAATAATGGCTGCTGGATATATGGTACTTACTTCAACTTTTTTATTAATAATTTGTACGATTACATTAAATAAAAAATCTTTAAATTATTCTATATTATTAAATTATATTCTGTTTTACTAAACAGAAAATTTTAAATGTAATAATTTACTCTATTTTTTCATGGAACTGCATAATGAATATCATGCATTCTTCTAAAGATCTTTTGCTGATTATTTTTTTATGTATTCAAATTCCAAATATGGTACTTATTGATTATTTGATTGTTTATTATGAGCTTTTACTAATAATATTCAGTCTTCTTCATTATCGGTATGGGTGCTTTTAGTATCATAAAGCTTCCTTTCCAACCCAAGTAGTAAATAACCGCCGTTTTCTTACCACACATCTAGATTTAGGATACAATTTTTAAATACTATGTTCACAGTTAATAAAGAAGATTATCATTTTGAGATTTTTATTTGGTATACCTATCATTGTTTAGAGCATACCATTACAAATTGTCTTAATCTCGATAGGGTTAAACAATTGAAGAGAAATTACACCATTTCTTCAACTTGGCTTTTGTAATTCTAGTTAACTAACTATTCAGCCTAGATATCATCGGCTACGGATCTATAAAAACTGCCAAAAGTTCAATTCAGAATCCCTATCATCATATATTATACGAGTATTTCAATAATTTTGAACAACCTCCATTGTTATAATTGGAGGTTGTTAAATCAATCAGATTGTAAAAATTTCTGATTGTACTAAGGGAAATTGTATAATCCATTATTATCATGTATTCAAAGTAATTGGCCCTCAGAAAAAAAAATTTTAACAGCATTTTACTGCTTTAGTATATTTACAGAATAAATAATATTTATTTTATGACATATTTTATTTATATCCATTTTCCTTAAATATTAATCATTTTCCTTTAAACGGTTCTCCTTTAAATAATTAAAAATACTTATAAATGATTTAAATGCCATCAACTAAAATTAATGTTCTTAAATTATATTCATATAAAGTTTAAAAGAAATTAATAATTTATTTACTTAATTTAAGCGTGAAGATGACAAAACCATAAAATTAACACCACGCGAACGAAGATTTATCAAATTTGCTTCAGCTGAATATAATGGACAGCTTTATATGACACCGCAGGATTTTTTGGACTCAGTTGTGGAACAAGAACCCAGACGTATGTGTAAACAGTTTTTATTCTTCATATATTAGTATTGTTAATTTTCTTTTGTATATGACGATAGCACGCCTTAAGCGTCGATCAATAATGACTAATGACTTAAATCGTATTAAAGACACAACACCAGCATTGAAGAAAGGTTCAGCTCGTATGTTTAGAACTCTCAGAGATAATGGTAAGTACATAGTTGATAATATTTAGAATCATCCATTTAATAAAAGTAAATGTAAAAATCACTTGTGATTAAAATCTTGATCAAATTTTTATTGCAATATATTACACTATATAAAAGAATCACTATTTTTACTCTATATAATCTATACTAAAAGATCCAAATTTAACGTATGATTATGGTGCTAAATCAGGACCTAAAAATAAACGTATATAATTACTTTTAAAAATGTTCGGTTTATGATACAATATATTTTAACTATATACGGAGTTGCAAGAAGCCATCTAAAAGTAAACAATTAAAATGCAATTATGCAAAAAAAAAATTTAATAGATGAAATAAACAATATAAAAACGTGATATGTTAATATGAGATAGTGTAAAGGTTTCAGTTTGATTCGATTCAGATTGGACAATTTTGGCATTTAGAGTATCTGTATGTATACTTGTAGATATTTGTATATCAAACCTTCATGAAAATGGTTTTTCAGGTTATTTGTAACATAATGAAGCAAACTTTAGAAACGATATAAAAGTGTATACTCTTGATCACCTTAACGGGATACATGTTGTTGTTGTTGTAACTCACTGGGACCTGTAAGAGAATAGTATGTTGGGATATTCAAGACGATTACATGGGTGAGGAAGTGGAGAGATAATACTTGGTGGTCATGGAAGGGAAATGAGGATAAGGGTTCGATTGGGTAGGTGGTATTTAATTGAACATTTTAACCAGGGTTCAGACGGAGAAACCTGGCCACTTCAATGGAGCGAGTGCAAATGTTAATTGGACGCAGAGTTGTGTGCGTTGTAGGAAATGGTATACATCAATCTATTTGACGCTTTATTAGTTTCTTAGTTTTCAAGATAATCGAATTATATTAATGAAATCTTTAAGAACGGGTCTGAGATATATGAAATAGGTAAAAGCAATTCAATTAGAATACATTCACCTCTCACTTGAATTGTTTAATTTGAACTGCTTCCTTAAAGATTAGAAGAATCATTTATAAAAATATTAATATTAGTTCTTCAGTGATTTCATCATTTTTATCTTACCAAACACACTCCTTCATTTAAGGTTTATTGTTATTGTAAATAATTAATTAAAACAACTAATTTTTGTTAAAAATATTAAAAGAAATAAAATCTAAATTTTATTTTAATTTATATACGATATTAATATTTATTATTCTTATTTCAGGCATTATTTCATACACCGAATATTTATTTCTTTTATCTGTGCTAACAAGTAAGTATATAACTCAGTATATAATAAAATTTAATACATATAATAATTTATATTATAATTAAGTAATAATGAATTGTAATAATAAATAAATAAATAAATATAATGATTCTATTAACAATTTTAAAACATTAAATAAATATATTTTTTTTTTGTCATTATAGAACCAATTTCCGGATTTCGCATAGCTTTTAATATGTTTGATACTGATGGAAATCAAAGAGTCGATAAAAAGGAATTTTTAGTGGTATGTAAATAGTAATTTCAAAAAATAGTTTAGAACTACAAAACTATTGGAACAACATAAAGAACTAGTGAGGATCATCAATGACTCAATAAACCGCAGTAAAGTCCCCAATAATTTTTTTATTTTGATTTTAAGTTAATTATGTAAAAAAATATTAGGTATTTTTAATGTTTATTTATTTTTTTATTTAATTTTTCCATATACCATAAAATTTAATTTAATTTTTTATAATTTCTTTTTAAACTTTTTTTGTAGTTAAAACATATTTTCGGTGGTTCATTTAACGAAAGAAATTTGGATGAAGACACACGCCAAGTTGTAAGCATTTTTTTTTTTTTACTTTTTTTTTAATTTCTAACTGTATGTCTTTATTACCGTAAGTCTTTTTAAAGCAGCGACTCGAATTAGTATATATTTATACACAATAATACTACTAATTCAAATTTAAATGAATTTATTTTAATATGTAAAGTATATGTTGTATATAACTATAAATAATTAAAATTTAGGAAGATTCGAATAGCAAAGAAATGTATATTTAATTTATTTTATTGTTTTTATATTATTTAATACTTATTATTATTATATAAAATATTTAGTATAATTTAATGCATTTAGTATATTAATGTACACTTAAGTGTCGGTAGATACCCTTTCGCCTCACATAATTATTAATGTTGTTAATAGTCCGTTCCTCTCGAAAAACTCCACTTAGGAGAGAAGGGCAGGAGTAAGTAAGTACGTAAAAGAGTAGACTGGTTTAAACTGGTTAGCCGGTACATTAAAAATCATTATCATTGTAATCGTTTGTATACTTTACTATCTGTTACTTAATTTACAAATAAGAAAATGTTTCTGTCGGTTTCCATATTTCTTTGTAACTTTATTTGCGATTAGTAGTCCTGATTCTGTCTCTAGGTTTGCAGATAATCCTGAGAAATGAACATCCAGTAAAAATTGTATCTTTTCCTCTTCACCTTCGGTGGAGTTACCATCTTCTCGCTTAATATTGGTGGAATTGGCGCTGTTGCCTTTTGAAAGCAACTTTGTATTCTGTAATCAGACATAGAAGGTTCACTGGATACTCTCCAGTTTTTGACAAACTCACAACCGCGAGTATTTCCTATAGTAATACCTTGGACCTCTTTGCGTGAGTTAGTTGCAAATGTTGGTGAATTGCCTACATTAAGTATTGTTAATTTCTTACTAGTTATAAATTCAAAAAGGTACTCACCTCTTGTGTTGATGTTTATACTTTTCGTTGTGCGCTTTGGAGTCGCAACCAAGTATGAGTGGCATTTTCATATTCTTTCAGTAGCCCACCAGTTTATCGACCTCTACAGATGGTATCTGAGTGTCGTCTCCTGGTAGATAGCCTGTAGCTACGAGAGAGAGAGATCTAAGGCATCAATGTCCTCACTTCCGTGAGGTTTCACACTGCTTTCGTTAATCTCATGTCTGGCCGCCTCCTCTACTTGTTCCGCAACGGCTGCTGATAGCGTTCCCTCAGCTGGTGTGGTTGCCCCAGCCGAGTTACTTCCCTCTTTGTTCACCCGCCCCTTATGTAAGTGGACCGAGACGGAGCTGAACCTGTAAAAGACCCTACAGCCGTTGGTTTTAATGGCCTCCTGCGACAGGCTGTCAATCCCAATCGTCAGAAGTTTTCCATTTTTCACATCCTTGCCGCTAATTACTCTCCATAGCTGAGTATGCAGACCCTCATTCTGCGTGATGAGTAGTTTTAACAGCTTTTCCGTATCAACACCTTTGGCTCTCGGAAGGTAGACCGTCATCATGTATATACTCGGTATGTTGTCCCCGGTACACGTGGTGAGTTCAACACCAGCCCATCCGTCCAGCTCAGGTGCCGCCCTGTGAACGAATTTCGCCGCTTCTTCATCTACACAGTCAATTAGTATGAGTCCTGACCGAAAGTGTATTCCGCTGAATCTTAGCTTGGAATCCCATCCCTTATACATCTTCTCAATGAGGAGTTCTTCGATCTTTCCTTGTTCGTCTCTCGAGAGAGTTGCCTCCGGGTAAAACTTGGGAAGGATGACTATTCTTAAGCTATTGGCTACACTATCATAGCTACTGCCCGATAATGTTTTTCTCGGTTGTTTTGGTGCAGCCATTTCCGTTATATTTTTCACTGGCAGAGGTTTGTCATTCCCTCTGCTCTTTTTAGCCGATTGGACATCGATCGGATTAATTTCTTGGGCAGGCCTCTTCTTAGAGTCTTGACTACCTTTTGACCGATTCAGCGCCTTTTCCTTTGCCGCGGCAGGCGTTAAGCCTTCCTTGAGGTAGCGCAAATACCATTTGGTACCCGCACCACTCAAGCCAGTCGTTTTCCTGACTTCGCGTAAGCTTTGGCCTGAAGTCAGTCCAGTACTTGTCGAGGGCTGTGGTAGTGTTTCGACGGTTGCATTTTTCGGTGCAACTTTCGAGCCCACAGTTTCTTGACTTTCCTTCCATAACGGAATTCCCGTTTTGGATTCAAACAGCAAAGAACTAGTTATGTTCCTAGGCTCTTCACCCACTTTCCACAAGTGTGCCTGGCGATCGGTATGTTGGATATCAAACTCCATCCAATCAGCCAGGCTAGTTGCAGTATGTGTTCCTGCTAGTTTTTTTATAATATTATTTTTTTGTTCCATATAGGTCCCACGAGTGTGGGGGAAAATAGGTCCGCCGTATCATAGCCCCCGGTAACACGGTAAGCCCACAGTTACTCACTGAGGCGGGCAGGTATCAGTGAGGTGCGACGCTAAAATACAGTCTGTTACCCCCGACTGCAAACAAGTCCGATGAACACGCGCAATTCCGGATTGGGGGAAAATGGTAATGGAGAAGAATTAGGAAAGGATGTTGGAGTGATTGCAGTTAGGAATTTTAGGAATCGGAGGGGTACAGGTATGGCTCGCATTAGCCGCTAAAAGCGTTACCAGGGATCACCACGTGGAGGCCCTCCTTTCGGAGGGGGTGAGTACTTGGGATTAGTCTCACCTGCGAGTCCGTCTAGTGAAATACTAGGATCCCCATATATATATAATATTATTTATAAAAATATTTATTTATGGTAACAATCGTTGTAGTATAATAATATACTTTTAAGTAGCAATGAACTATTATTTCCGCTACTAGTAACAAATATTTTAACTATACGTTTAGTTTTAGTTTTTTTGTGATTGATTAATTTATCCCAATTAACTAAACTATCGTAAATTCCGTACGAGTGTGAGGATTCTCTCGAAAAAAGTATGATAGAAATAATAGTTGTACTAAAATATCACACATGTGACATAAAACGATTTTCTATCGTAATTTTTATGATAATTTCTCTCATGAATTTATTATCACTTTTCGTTAGAAAAAGTATCGTAAAAACAGCTTATCGCGACTGTGTTAATTGGGCTCCTACATTATAACGTCTTCTTTGTAAAATGTTGCTTGATACCACACATTTAATAGATCATATTCTATTAAATCTTATATACAAAAATATTAAGGGTTATTTATTTACTTTGCAAAATTCATATATTTTATATAATCGGATTATTGTTTTATGTATTTTTACGAGTTTATTTAAAACGTTATTATTTAGCTCTTTAGCTTATATTCACCAGAGGCTAAGGCAAGGTTATTAAAAATGCAAAAAGAGGAAAAAAAAGTTGAGAAACCAAAACCGAAACCTAAAAATTTATTTGTAAGTTTTTTAAATTAAAAACAAATTGTTAGATTTAAAAAAATTAATGTTATTCTTGTTTTGTTTGATTGGCTTTTATGTATGTGAATATACGTATTAATTGTTTATAGTTATTTTGTTTAATGATTTTAAATTGATTTATTTTTAATGCTTACACAAAGCTTACTCTGCAAGCCTCTTGAAATGTGCCTTTCTTGCTTCAAAGTTCAATAGTTTATAAGATATTAAATTTTTTTATAAAATAATAATCTTATAATACTATACTACATGATATTAATTCTCAACTCTTCAATTGAAATGTGTTATAGATCTAATTGAGAGTAAAAATATCATTAAAAAAATTTAATTCGTTAATGTTTTGTTTGTTTTTTTTTTTATTTAATTACGTTTTAAACAATTTTCAGAGTTTTTTTATATTAATTTTACTTATTTTATATATATTTTTAAATGCTGCTATTTTTCTTATAACCTATTTTCTATTGACGGTTTAAAATGGATAATATTAAATTATAAGCACTATTTTTTTATTTTCGTTATATCATTTTTCATTTACTAGATATAATAAAATTAAAAAAGAATATCTATTTAGTCGCTTTAACTATCGTCACAACACCATTTGGAAGTTATTGCTATAGTCAGGAATTTAACTTACCATGTTTAATAATAGATTGTGCAATTTGCTATTTTACTTAATTTGATCTATAAAGATTTTTCATATTTTAACAAAATCGATTTTTTTCTAAAATATTCCGCACTGTTAGTAATAGTCGAACGTAAATAGTCAGTTGTGACTTCTGTAACGGATCGATACATTGGGTCGATCTATTGAGCCGTATTATGACTTTTATTAGAAATACATAATCGATCGTGACTGTAATTTTTTTTCTTTTGAAATCGATGCACTACTCTATTTCTATGCTTATTACAGCCTTTGTATGTCTATTCCTTTGTTGTAATCTCTGGAGTTGCGACGTCCAATGATGCAAATCTAAAGCATCATTTGGTTTCCATTGACAATTAAACTTTTGCAATATTATTTCAAATGGTAGGACTATTGATAGACAGATCCAACCGATAATTTTAGCAGTGACACAACAATATATAGTAGTTGCATTTCCACAGATGCACAATGCCACAAGTTCATTAGTACATTTTTCCTCTTCATTTGGCATGTAATTAGATTTCTTTTCGAACATAACTTCTAGATATTTTATTTATCGTTAATATTTAGTGTTTTATCTCCAAGAGTTGAGTATTAAAAATCGGAATTTAATATTTCTTAGTAAAAAGTACGAATTCTATTATCTGTGGGTTCATTCCAAGTTCACACTCACAATTGCCCGCTTGTTATATTCGCTAATAAGATCACATCATTAAATATATTATTTAGTAGTTGAAACTTATTTTTAAAGGGACGACATCAGAAATTTACAAACCTATTCCATCAACAGCTATATCCATCGATATGTATATCTTAATATATAAAAACATATATTATATGTATGCTATATTCATTTTTGGTTAATATCCTTTTTACGCTAATTAGTTATTTTATTACTTATTTATATTATTAGTTATTAGTACTTTCATCTTAATCTTAGGAAAGATTATTCATTGCATCGCTTTCTTATTTTTTTTTTTTTGTTCTATTTTATCATTTATTTTTGTGTTCTTAGAAAAATAGTTCACTAAAATGGCATTTTAGCTTTTATTATAAATTTTTTATTTAGTAGAATTCTTATATTATTATTTTTTTTTTGTTTAGTGTATTTTTTTTAAACCGTCAAACATATAATTATTTATATCCTTTTGTCCACTACAACACTACATAAACAAAATTTTCAATTTTTATTATAAGTTTAAATAACATCGTTTTAATATTCCCGATCCCTATGTATGGATATAGATATACTTCTTCAAACATTTTTTTATTAAAAATTGGTTCACTTATTGACATTCCCAAAACCCAAAAAGTTTTATTATTCAGTTCTTAAATCTTTTTTTGTTTTTTCATTTAAGTTACTCATATTTTTTTTCAACTATGTTCCCGATAATTGTTGAATTCTAACATTAGTATTTACAACTTCCAAAATCGTGACTATAAAAACAATCACTATTAGTGTCAGCTAGACGAGCTATTAATTATTATTAAAAGGACCAATAATCAATTTGGCTATCCTTGAAATTATACTATCCGAGGCGACAATCTCCTAAACTAAAAAGAACAAATTAAGGCTATTGATAATCCTTATGTGCGTTGGTTCAAGACTTTGAATCTCTTTCAGTTCAATAAGAGCATAATAGAAACTGGATCCCTGTCCACAACAATTAATATTTTATCTAATATTTAATATTTTATCTACATTTTTCAGAGTCTGAAGATTTCAAACTTCTTTATCCCATCTGTTGAAGATGATAACTAAGAAGGTGTCCAATTATAAATCAAAAATTAATTCCCTTTCAATGTTTCTTTTAAAATTACTAGTTACAATAAAAACTTTGGAAATTTTAACAAATTGATATACCCCGTTTCTATTTATGATTTATTTATCATTTTTCACAATACGCAAGAAATTTTATCATAATTAAAGTTAAGATTTTATATCCCAGAGATATAATAATTCCTAAGAACGGGTTAGTTTCTATTGGAATTATTTTAATTCCTACAATAGTTTTAACTGGTTATCGACTCTGCAACTTAATATGCATATATTTAATCTTTTTGAGAGTTGTCTTGTGATAATTGGTATTCCTTATACTCCAATTTAAAAATTGTATGATCTATTTCTGTTCCACTATATTAGCTGTTTTGCATAATACATCTATTTATTCACTTATATCGCACCCTTTGTATTTCACAATCAAAAAATGTCTGTGAATGAACACCCTGCACTCATTTTTACAATTTTATATACTTGTATATAATATATATTTTGTGATAATACTGTTTATGCCGTCATTCATGAAGCATTTCTTAAAATTATTTCTATATATGAGTAGCGTTTTTAACGTGCATGCTCATCTGTTGATGCATGACAAAAACTCTTTATACTACTAAGAAATTTAGAAGCTCTATTTAATACTGTCTACCAAGTTCAGAAATTTTTTAATTGCCAGTTTATTTCTTTAAGATTTGATGCCACATCATTTGATATAAACTCCATGCCACATAACTATTAACTCATGTCAAGTCAATTATTTATTACTGAAACTTATATGGGCTTCTTAAATATATACATATTAAATATGTTAATATATAAAAAAATTTAATCACATATCAAAAATTATTGTTTTCCAACGATCTGTTGTTATCCGAGAAGAATTTGCTTTCGATATATCTTTAATTACAATGGAAAGCAGTTTCAAATATATACATTCTTTATGTTTTTCACTTTATCATTAAGTTCTTCTTACTGTATTGAAAGCACGACAATTTTATATTGATATATCTCCAATTAGGAAGGACTACAATGAAAAGAAGTTTTAGAAATATACATTCTTTATGTCTTTCACTTTATTGTTATCTTCGTCTCAATCTATTTGGTTGTTTATCCTTTCGATATTTTCCAATATATGTTCTAGTTTTTTCCTTTGTTATAATTTTGTTGTTTAAACTTATATAAAAATCGATATTTTCGAGGAAAATATTAACATTTGACTAAATATTCCCATTTTTTATTAACCAATTCCAAAAATAATCTACCAATCCCTCCCAGATGGAACGCATATTTAGTGGTGCATGGAAGGACAAACGTGGTCAAACTAATGATACTAAAGATAAAACTAATGATGATGATACTGAAAATGATAATGATAACGATAATGAAAGTAAGAAACCAGAACAAGATGAAAAACTTAACAAAGAAAAACAAAAGAAACACGCGAAAGATAACGTTGAGGTAAAAAGCTTATTAATTGAAATAATCAAAATTATTACTATATGTACTAATATACTATATGTCAACGTATAACTTAACATATATTTGTGTATATTTGCTATATATGTTAATAAACAATCAATTATATAACAAAATAATGGTATTCGGACCGAATACGGAGTTAGGGTCCCGGTCTAAATACCACTATGTATAATAAATATTTAATAATAAATATTACAAAATACTACAAAATTTTTCCTAAGTAGGACGACTATATTGACGATGAGGAAGGTCTACAGCGAAAACATAAGGTGGACACTACACTACAAGTACATTTCTTTGGGAAGAAGGGCAATAACGATTTATATTACGATGGATTTTATAAATTTATGGATAATCTACAAACTGAAGTTTTAGAGTTAGAATTTAGTGAATTCTCAAAGGGTAACATACAAATTTCCGAACTGGATTTTGCTAAAATTCTTTTACGTTACACTTATTTGGCTGCGGATGAATATGATAAATTCCTGGACCGTTTACTATCACGTATCAAAGATGAGGAACAGGGCATCACTTTTGAAGAATTTCGAGATTTCTGTAGATTCCTTAATAATTTGGACGATTTTGCAATTGCTATGCGGATGTATACCTTAGCTGATCGTGCAATCTCTAAAAGTAAAATATTTATAAGAATATTATATAAAAAAAGAATTTATCTTATTTATATTTACCATTTTCAGATGATTTTTCACGTGCAGTTAAGATTTGTACCGGCTTTACTCTTTCCAAACATCTCATTGATACAGTTTTTGCTATTTTCGATGAGGATGGGGATGGTTTATTGTCATATAAGGAATTCATTGCTATTATGAAAGATCGCTTACATCGTGGTTTGAAAGTAAGAGGTTATGTCTTCGAGTACAGAGAAGATATAGATCAATATGCTAGCTCTGCTTATCCAAAATTAACGCTTTTGCGCCAACGTGTTTGTCGTCATTTAGATTATTTTTACGATGATAATTACTTTTAATTCGAATAATTTTTATTTATTTATTGCATTAAAAACACAATTTTTTCGCATAGTATGATCCAATTCAAATGACAAACATTTTTTTAGTACTACACAATTTTTAGATTTGCATCCAATTTTTGGCACTATCCTATATCTAATAACTGTCTTATGGTATATTATTTACTATTTCACGCATAAGCACCTACCGTCATTAAAATTGAATCAAACTATTAATTTAAAGAAGATGTTCCAAACTACTTCATACATTTTAGATTAGTAGCTTATACGACATAAATCACACTTACATGTATTGATATGACATATATGATAATCATTGTAGTTATATATAATATGCTTTAATTTTATTTACATATATATATATATATAATAACTTTATATGCGTATTATACTTATGCTATTTTTAAGTTTCTTTTCAATTTTAATTTAAATATTTTGCTTGTTACTCTTAAATCGTTCATACACATATTATAACTTTTAATTTTGGAAATTTATATAAGCGTTGTTATATATATAAAAAAATTTTAGAATTGTTAAGAATTTAATATTTTTTATTTAATTGAAATGGACTTTTAGAGAATTTTATATTTATATTTGTATGCAAATTTGAGAACCCAAGAACTTTGTGATAATTAAAATCTATATAAAAAGTTTTTCGAATAGTATTAAATTGGAAATACAAAGAATAACTCTAAAGCTTTAACAATTTAAAAAAATTATAATAGCTGATTAGAAAATCCATAAGCTGTAGGTTATTGTTCTAATTAAAAAGCATTGGTTGTTATTAGAAAAAATAATAAAAAACTTGAAATTTGAATAAAGTTTCGTATAGCTTTAACTTGGTTCAAAATTGAAACAATTGTATAAAGACTTATACAACCAACGGATATTCCCAGAGACATCTGATGATGATAGGTATTTGGCAATATTTAAAACAGCTATACTATAATAATTTATAATTTGCTAAGTGACTTAAAAAAAAATTAATATGGGATTTAAATCTAAATTAAATAGATTTCAATTAAGTTGCTCTCTCCCGCTATCTTGTTAATATTTATACTAGCGACCGCACTTACAATACAACCAAGATTTGTCATTCAAGCAAAATTTTTTAAAGTTAATTTTCTTGAAAACTTATTAAATTGAATTTATTTAATCACTAACTTTTAGACGAATTTTATTTAGTCTGCTAGCATATTTTCTCATTGTCATTTAAAGATGCAGACTTACAGTTTTGGTCACAGTCACGGTGTTTTTATTCTTGATTGACAAGTTTATAAGTCTAATTAACTGTAAAAAACTTATGGAACTAATGTAAATCAATAGAATTGACATTGACTATATAAATGCAATAATAACACATGCAAAACCTTGCCAAAATGTAATCAATTGCTTCTTCAAAAGTATCTAATAACTTAGGAAACTCATTAACATCTACAAAGCAATTTCTATACCTAAAAAAAAATAATATATTAAATGAGTAGTAATTGAGAATGCTGATTATAATAATATTCATAACCTTATATTTATCTTAATTGTCTACCAAATCACTTTTAATCTAATGCTGGTGTTATTGTTGTATCCCTAATAATAGTACATCTCCTATGGTAGCTAGTTTCGGTAGTTTTCCTTGAAAACGCTGAAACTTAGATAGGAATTGTAATAAATTATTGATTAATAATGCTATACAAACAGGTAATAACTTACTTATTTAATAATAACCAATGAGCTTGACACTTTGGCTTTAGAGATAAGCTAAGTATTGTGATATATTGAATTATAGTGATATAAAATTTTACTGATAACGTACTTAATATGCTTTAATCTAAAAACTTTATTGTAAGCACATTGCCCTATAAAAATTTATTATTGTTCATATGAAAACTAATTAAATAACAAATCAATTTATTTTTATTTACATGCAGCTTTTTTTTTAACTGCTGAATCAAAAATTTTATTACTATTAAATTAATATAATTATTTTATACATCAAATTTACCGAATTTGTTATAATCACCTTGCCCTAAGAAATAAGTCCTCGGGTATGGAAGTAGTTGAAGTGGCATAAGGATAGAATCCTCTCCAATAAGCTAAAGTTAGCGTTTCCACATGCAAGTGTTTGGTTAATTTCAATATTGAGTATATTAATAAATTGAGTAATAATAGTCCCAATAGCTGAAGACTAGATAGTGATACAATAGATGTTCTGATATCTCTTTTTCGAGCGCCGGCAAACACAAACTACAGAAGTTATGACTGGCAGTTTTTATGTATACAAAATGTATATAAAATAAATTATAGTAATAATTTTTACTTAACTGTTTGAAAATCTCGTATTTTAAAATGAAGTTCAAATAATTTGTTCGAATTTTAAATTATTTAGTCAACATATCTTAAATCAACTTATCTTAACTTAAATGAGCCTTGTCTGTCCCCATTAGAGAAACTACGACAAATATTACCAACTGATTTAAATACTATATTTATAAAAATATATAAAAGTCCATTTTACCAAAATTGTGATCGGTTTTATGCCCCAAACATTCCAAAATTAAAGACTTATTAAATAATGTACACAAATTATGATTTAAACTCTAAAGTTTATATATATGAACATCATAGTTTCATCATGCTCGCATTAAGAACAAACTTAAGATTTATATAAATTATTACTTTTACGCTTAAAATATAATTTAACATTATTTATTTCTTACATATATCCAAAAAAAAATATTCTTTATTAATTTAAAAATTGTTTTTGTTAAATTAATTTTACATGTAAGTTTCTTACATTTAATTGGATTGCTTTATTTATATTTATTAAACCATGTATCCTATATTTTTATTTGCAAAATGCGTATTCCACATAAAAAATAATAAATTTTTTTACATATTCTATAAAAATTGTTGTTTTATTATACTTTAGTTTTCATTAATATATTTGTTAATAGTTTTATTTTCGTTGTGACTAAAAATTTAATGTATATAGTGCAATAACGCAAAAAACACGATTTATTTAAAACAATATACAAAAAAAAATATAGCTTTATATGTCGCATTTGCCTCAATGCCTAATCTTTTTTTTCTATTAAAGTATTCTTTTAATCTCTATTTAATTGCCATCTCAATGTGTATACTTATTGATCTGTTATTCATTATTGAATCATCATTAAAATTATATATAATTAATCTTTTGAGTCATCATCTACATATATTTTTTTGTTTGTTTTTCTGATTTGTAATTAAAATTTAAAAAGTAACAAAACAAGGTTTAAAATTATTATATATTCAGCAATTCATTGCTGACATGGTTGACCTTACAAAGCCCGGCTGTCAACCTGTTCTGAACTGAACTCCGACTTTTTAATGTAATTAAATCGAGCGATATGAATTCAATTATTGTGGCTCAGCAATTTTGTTTGAAAGTAAATTTGCGCAATATAATGTCATCTAAATATCCAAACATTTAAAGGATTGAGATTTATACTCAAATGATTTAAAAGAATTTCACACAATTTTATTGTGGTATACTAGTTAAATTATAATTTGCCTTCCAAATAGACAATAAATAAATTGGATGATAAACTATTATACAAAGTTCTGTATCTGTATGGCACTCCATAGTATTACACACAAGTTTACCGATGATATTTTGACAAATAAATGTATACAACATTTAAAACATATATAACATACTTTTACCTCCATTTAATAGATCGATATTGTATGACTGTGGGTGTATGACTGTGGGATGCGATTTCGTTCTAATATAACAAATGAAGATTGAATATATTGGTTAACGTCATCATTAAATTGACAAAATTCTATGTTAGAACAGTTCAATTTTGAGACTTGAATAATTAAATTCAAGAAATATAATCAAAAAAACACTCGAAACAAATGTATTGTAAGCCAAAAATTAATTTATTTAAAAATAGAATGTTGTTATAATTCACTACTGCTTGAAAGTTTTGTTATTTACAAAATAGTTTAAACAAAACTAAGTTTAAACTAAACTATAACTCAAATTTTATACCATTAAACAATATTCAATTTTTATAATTATTATCTTTTTTTCTGTAGTCTACAACGAAAGCTGAAGGATGGGATGCATTTAAAATTTGTGTGAAACAGGATATAAGAGCATCCAGAAGCGCTCGTTAAACTGACTAGTAAAACAAGGTCTGACATCATATTTATTCTTCATATCGCTCAAAAATAAACTAAGAATGCACATAAATTAAGCCAAAAAAATCGTAATATAATCCGTTTAGTCTATTTATAAAATTTCAATAGCACTTTTAAAAAGTTATATACTCTAGCCTTCATTATTTTTTATCATTATTATTTATTATTTATTATAAAAAACTCTTTTGTAAATTAATTGAATAGAGCAAATTTTAAAATTTTGTTGTTATTATTGTTATTGTTGTTATTTTGTATGTATATTTTATTATTTTATTTAAATTAAAAATGTTTATTATTATTAAAGAAATGTAATTCAATAATTAATAAAAATCAAAATAATAAATATATTTGTTTCAATTTCGTCAACAAGAGCAGAGAAATCACAATACATATACATTTTTAAATATATTTCCTTAGAAAACATTCAAACTATATACGATTTATATCTCAAATCGTTATAAAGTTTAACGAGCGGAAAACAAATATTAAGGCCCTTAAAAGCATTATAAATGAAACGGAAAAAAATAATGGCAACAAATTAGTTATAATAAAACATCTCCATTTGCGTTGTTGATTGCCTTTTAGTTGACTTTCAACAGATAACAAATGGATGTACAATAGTATATCAGGAAATAGAAGTGCTTAAGTTTCTAAACAATTCATTAGCCAAATTTGAAATTCAAAAAATACCATCGCCTAGCTGCTGATCTTGGAACTCAATAAGTTCAAGCATCCTGCAGATACAGATATGTTGATATATATCTTCATTCATGTTTTGAATTTCAAATATGCACTGCACCGGCTCACACACAATAAAACCTTTTAAAATTAAAACAAAACTTGCCAAGATATAAGTTCAACCCTTGGTACTCGTACTTTCAGTCTCATAAAATTATTTTCGAATAATTAAATATGAGAAATAATTCCAAAAAGGCCATTGGTGATGGGTATTTGGCAGTACTCAAAACAGCTGTATAGTCATCCAAAAACTCAATTATTAAAAAATTTTGTTGTTGCAAATAAAACAAAAGGTTATAATTTTGTCATAGATCATTTATTTTATTCCGTACCGTCTGTGAGGAATTTTTCTATTTTTTTTTTTCTATAGCGGTCGACACTTGAGAAATTGAAGGAATATGAATATGAAACATGAGAGTGATGAAATGGGTGATTGTTTGTCAAAAGAGGAGCAACTATATCATCCGTAATCGATTCTGAGACTTTCCCTGGACTTTCATAAAAAGTTACTCGAATGAAGTCATCCGAAAATAGTGAAAAAAAGTAATTTGTGAACACTACAACCAATAGTATATCACTAAAATCAGTTGTGACCTTTTGACACTAATATCTTCGTGAAGTGAAGCTGTCTTCGTGAAGTGCACATCGATAGCTGTAAGCACATTTTTCGTGAATGTCCTACTTTTGGCTGACCAATATATCGAATACTGCTCTCAGTAAAGTGCAATATCGAATACTGAAACGAACTGCAATTCGTTTTAAGTATTCATGCATTTTATAACCGAATAAACATTAATTCATCAATAAAGCTATAATATATATTCTCATCAGAATTTGTTTTTCAAATAGACACAAAAATACACACTATCACTTGCCCCGTTCACACACCACGAAATATCGTATCGAATTAATTCGGATCAGTTTATATTCTACAAGAAATTCAGCGAGGAGATATTGACATAAATTTAGATTGTATATGTGCTTACAATAATCAGGCATGCTCTGAATTTCGACTTCATTTCAATTCGAAATTCAATTTGAAACGGAATGAACCCGTTTTGGGTGCTCCAGAAATCGAATATTTTCATGCGGTTTCAAAATGAAATCAAAATGAATAAAATGAATTTAAACACCTGTTTGTTGACTATTTTAACAAGTTGTGAAATATATTTTTGCCGTTTTGAAAAATATTCAAAATACTTAAGTGAAATTTTAAAATTTTAATAAGTAAAATAAAAAAAAAACAGTTTTTATAAAATGTTCGGAATGCTAACATTGGTGGCAGCTGAAAATAATAGTCACACAAATGAAAAAATAAAAAGACGGATTTTAAGAGATTGCAGCAATCCGTTAGATTTGAATGAGTCGACGTAGGTGGCTAATTCATACTGGATGAAACAACGAAAAATAAAGATTACTTCACAATAATTCAGATTGCGCTTCTGAATTATTGTGCGCAATCTTTTTACGAACAATCGCCTTCCAGTCGAGCCACACCTGTAATTGTATTACCATGAATAAAAAGTTTTCATGCTAAAGAATAAAAAAAAATGCAATTTACCTTTTTCCATCCCTGGATATCTTTGCTAGGTGGACCATGGCTGTTTAGCTTTCCTGTCAGTTCTGCCCATAGTTGCTCCGTGGCCACTTTGTCGCCTTTGACAAAGGCAGTTGCAATTTCCTTATGCATCTCCATAAATCTTAGCAAGATTCCATCTTGCACAGTGCTCTTGTGTTTACCCCTTCAAAATAAAATATCAAAATTATTATTTTTTTTATTTACATAACTTGAAACTGATTTAATTCAAAAAAAATGTAATTATACTTACATGTTATTTTCACCACTTTTAAATTTACAACTATTTCGATATGTGGTTTTAATCACATGTTTTTATGCGGATTCGATTTCTAGAGCAAGCAAATTCATTCGATTTCATTTGTGAAATCGCAAATGAAATGATAAAAGCAGAGCACCAAAATGTGAATTTAAATTGAAATCGAATTTTTTTTATGCGGATTCGAATTCTAGAGCATGCCAGAATAACTTTAAAACTATTTATTTAAATTTTTTATTCATATGAATTTTCATTAGTAAAGAACCAGACTCTTGTATTTTAACATAGTCCA